TGCAGTCAGTGCTTCAATTCATCCCAAAATTCAGTGGAGTAGAGGTCAGGGCTTTGTGCAGGCCACTCAACTTTACCCACACTAACCTTGGCAAACCATGTTTTTATAAATGTCACTTTGTTCTCATGGGCATTGTCATTCTGGAACAGGTTTGGGCTATGTCTCTTACTTGATCATAATCCTACAGCATACAAAGATATTCTAGACAACTGTGTGCTTCCAACTTTGTGGCAACAGTTTGACAAAGGCCTACATAGTATATGGGTGTGAAAGTTATGTGTCCACATATAGTGTACATATAGAGAGTATTGAGTTGATAGGAACTATTTTGTGACACGAACCCAAAAGATTATGCAAAATAGTGCCCCAGCCATGTATCTGCATACACATGAGATACAGTTTCGCATAAACTACTATGATTTTATGACTATTATGATTTGACAATGCTGACTTGTCCATATTCATATAAATTCTCAATAAGGGAAAGTGGGTACCGAGATGTTGACATTTACTGCCTGAACCACACCACATCCCTGCAAATACCCAGCCAGAAGAAGTTTTCTTATCTATGACCAGGTTCCTACTATGAGGTTATAAAGAGTCACATTCAAAAAGCATTTCCCATGGAAAATCATGGAAAAGGGTATATCCCAACTATGTACAGCCTCTCATAATTGAACGGGGGGGAGTAGGCTAGCTTTACCCCAGCCCAAACACCTTGACCATAGATCACAGTGACTTATTTGTAAGCATAGTATCTCTATGTTACCAAATCACAAGTAAATGCACCCGTAGAAGGCAAATTTGCCAGTCCTGTGTCCTCTTGTAGATGAGAGAAGGCATACCCTCTTCCCTGAAAGTCAACCCCAGGCAGGTCTGGGCCCATTTTCAAAAAGGTGTTCTAATACTAGTATTACATGTCTAGCCTGGTTACCAGCACATTTATCCCTCACCTCCAGAAACATGATAATTGTGTAAATTGAGTCATAATTTCCACTTTCCACAATCTCCAGACAAGCTGACTTAACTGAGGTTATGGTTGGACCTTTGGCACAATTCCACATGAAACCTGTCAACATGTAGTCATACAAGTTTCCAGACAAGCAGACTTGATGACTAGACATTCAACTAAATCTCTGGACAAATACATAGTCATAAGGCTGTCTCTCTGCAATCTCCACTAATGCCATGGTTCACTCGAAAGCCACGCCACTGCTCAGGACCATGTAAGTCCTTAACCAGGGAGAAACTATAAAACTATAAAGAGGCAAAAACCCTTTGATGTCACATGGCAGGTTGGGGAAGTTGACTATGAGGTGTTGTGAATGGACAGGGGAAACACATAGCATATTTACATATTTTTATCTAATGCTCCTTAAGCAGTGGAGAGAAATGGTCCCTGCTGCTTTGGTAATGGTGATAGCAAGCTGAATTTTTGGAAGTGTTTTCTCAACTGCCTGGGAGCACTAAGCGCATAGAACACCACCTGCTTGCTGAATACAAAATAAAAGGAGTCAAATTACAAAGGAGAAGTTAGAATTACATAGAAATGTTTTGAAGTGACACAGTGACAGGAACAGCCCCATTGTGCTTGTGCCCCATGTTTCTGCAAGAACACTGATCTGGATCCCTGACGCTCTGTAGGCCTCTGCTGGTCGAGCAGGAACATACCACGTGTCAGTAAATATACAAAAGAAGTATCAGGCCTTGGTGAACTCAGGGTGTAACCAGACTACTATCCATCATAGCCTGATTCAGTGTGGGGTATTGGGAAATGCACGATTGCTGAAGGTGAGTTGTGTGCCCAGGGATGTTTATCCCCGTATCCGCAGGTGCCAGTCATTGTTAAATTCTTGGCACAAAAGCATAAAGTAGAGGTGACAGTTAGTCCTTGCCTCACCCATCCACTAATTCTTGGGGAAAAATTGGCTAGGGTTTCAGGCATTAGTATGAGAAATGTTTGTTGATGGGTCCTGCAGAAGCGAGGCACAGTGTGGAATGAGTGCAGCGTTAGCTGGGGAGGTGGTGCCGGGGCCATTGACATCAGTTCCACGTCAAGGGTACACAGAGGGTGGGGAGGGCCCCGTCCCCCCACCCTTTGTGGGAATTCCTCTCAGGGATTTCCCCTTGGAGCAGTCACATGATGATTTCCCCTTGGAGCAGTCACATGCCTTCGAACAAGTGAGAGTCATTGACGGTCAACAAATCCAGCCTAATGTTGTGCTATCCCACCCATAATTTTCAGTTATTATGGATAGGTTATATTGAGTGACAGGACACTCAAACCAAGGAAGAGACAACACAATTGTTGTTACCACAGAGCCAAAGGGGGAACTTCTGATCCATGTGGCTCATCATAATCCCATGCCTGGGTAGGATAAAACACTAATAGGATGGGGTAGGATAAAACACTAAACTGTCTCACGACCCATTGCTATTGGCCGGGTATTTGGCGTGCGGCATGTCACAAAAGTCAGCTGGTGAATCAGCTGGCCACCCGAAAAGCAGCATTGCACCCTCTTCCCTTAATTGAGGTCCCCTTCAAAAGGATTGGCATGGACCTCGTCAGGCCATTAGAACATAAAGGCATTTCTTTGTGTTAGTTCTAGTGGACTACGCAAAAAGATACCATGGCTCTTTGCAACATCTCAGCATGCAGCATTGCGGATGCACTCTTACATGTTTTCTTCTCGAAAGTGATCCTGACTTTCGAGGGCATGTCCTTTTTTTATGCACTCTTCTTGAAATGTATACATTATTATAATTAAATCGATTCACAATAGTGTATACCATCTGCAAATGGATGGGCTGGTTGAATGGTTTAATTAAACTCTTAAAACTATGATTCATAAGATCGTTCATGATGACGCTCGGAGTTGGGATAAGTGGCTTGAACCCCTCTTGTTTGCAGTAAGAGAGGTCCCACAAGCCTCCACAAGACTTCACACCTTAAGTCACCTAACACAGGAGAATTTGCATGAGGCCCAAGAATGCCAGGCCTGACTGTACGACAGGGGTACTCAGCTATGGGAATTTGCGCTGGGAGATAAGGTACTCATTTTACTACCCACGTTGAGCTCTAAATTACTCGCAAAGTGACAAGGGCCCTTTGAGGTCACAAGGTGAGTTGGAAAAGTCAACTATGAGGTCAGCTGAACAGATAGAGGCACGTCAAATATACCACCTCACACACACACCCATGCCACGGAGTGTGAACTTGAACTTAAACAGGGCGAAAGCCGTGAGCTAGTGATGGCCCCTTTTCTGCTCGTTTGTCTTTTTGTTGAGTCTTTGAAAGTGCACTGAAAAAACAATGTAAACACAGTCTTCCTCTGCACCCTTAAAAACTGAGTTCTAGGTTGGTTTCTGACCAGGGCTGTTTTAGGTTCACACTCACTCTGGTACCATAGTGGTAAGTTGTGGGGTTACCGTGCCAGTGACTGGGGTTTGATCCCTGGTCATGACAGTAGAGTAGAATGTCAAAAATTCTACCCTAAAACAGGTAGAAAGAAAGTTAGATAAGATCTTATCCCCTTCTGCTTGGGAACATTTTCACAAGTTGGTGTGAAATTTCTCTCCTTTGTGATACCTTGCTGATCAAAAGGGGTTCCCTTTTTGGTCATATCTCTCAACCTGGATTGGTTAGGTCACCTAATGTGAGTTTAAAATTACATCCAGTATCTAAATACTACAATATGACAGGGCACAAAAACATTGCAACAAGTAAAATGTAAAAAGCATTCTACCCTACCCATTGGCTAGGGTAGTCAAGGAATTTTGCTTTATTTTTCTAAAATCCCTATTTCAGATTATTCCTTCATATTTGGAAATAATACCTGGGTTTAGCTCTGGTCTGTTTAAAACAGCCCAACATTTTTTTTTTACTTGATGCAATTTTTACATTTTACTTGTTATACTGTTTTTGTGTCATATTGTATTAGGTGACCTAACCTATCTTGGTTGAGAGAAATGACCAATAAGGGAAACCCTTTTGATCAGCAAGGTATCGCAAAGGAGAGAAATTTCACACCAACTTGTGAAAATGTTCCCAAGCAGAAGAGGAAACTATGGAAACTATGGAAACAGGGGAGGTTATTCTTCAGTATATGTCCATCTCCAAATGGTACAAAATGGATTTACCAAGACATTCACATTTCCGTAGTAGTAAGAGGTTTTGAGTAGTAATTTCCACTTACAGTTACCACTGTAATTTAGCAGAGTACCCTGTAGTTTGCTAGTCTGAATACAGCTGTATTCATGCAGTGTTAAAAACAGTAGCATGTACCAAATGTACAAATGTACAGCAGGTAATAAGATAATATTTAAAAAATAAGATTAAAAGGCAACAAATATGGACACAGAATAAAAGACTATGATAATACCAGTAGCCAGTGGAAAAATATTTGAAGTGATACAAGGGAATCAATGAGCCTTAATAATTCTGTGAAGTTCTCTCATGCAACAGGTTATATCAGGAACAGGCAGGTGGGAGCAATGGAGACATACGTTCAAGGCAGCATCCAAACCTAATTTCTTACTGTGGCAGCAGGGGCACGGTTGAGTATCAACTGTGAAAGGAGGTAAGAGTCTGAAAGAATTACTTTGTGATGCATGAGAAGTGCAATCCAAATACAAATGAAATAAAGAAAAGGATTGCACTTCCACTCAACACAGCTGTCTCCTGTGTCCCTCAGTAACTTCAAAGTCAACCAAGGTACTACAGTGGCACTGAATCCAGGCAATTATACACCTACAGAGACACTGAGGTGATCAGGTACCTGGCCAGTCTGCCTCAAACCCAATATCAGGCCTCCTTAACCTGCCTATACGTTGTTGCTGCTGTTCTTTTGGCTGCTCCCGTTAGGGGTCGCCACAGCGGATCATTGGTCCGCATGTTTGATTTGTCACTGGTTTTACACAGGATGCCCTTCCTGACGCACCCCTCTCATTTTATCCGGGCTTGGGACCAGTACTGAGAGTACACTCCCAGTGGCTGGGTTGGTTCCCTGACCAGGAATCTAACCTGGGCCACGGTGGTGAGAGCGCAGGATCCTTAACCGCTAGACCAATAAAACAATGTAAATAATACTTGAAAGAAAAAAAAAACAAACCACAGGGAACCCCCAATATAAGAAAGCATAACCCAGAGGAAAAACAGGCTAAATGACATCATGTCCCACTTCATTCTGATTAGAAACACGTCACACCTCCTTTGGCTGTGTATACATATAAGTTTAGCATAGAGAATTTACATTTCCTTCTTTATAAATACCACAGATTATTTCTGTTCAGTGAGCAGATCAGCACACATTCAAGGACACATTCATTATCTCCCTTATTTGGAAATAATACCAAAATTGATGATATCAAGCATGGTGATATCATTGTTGGAGGAATTTTCCCTTTCCATAGTAAATGGGAAATCACAGACTCATCCTATTCGGTCATGCCACCTGCAATGAATTGCATGAGGTAAGCAACATAAACATTAAGTGGAATAATACAATAAATTATTACCAACAATTGACAATAATACCAACACCTATGATATATACTGAATATAGTATCTGTATTTCTGTCTGTATTTCTATTTCTAACAAGTCTGGAATTTAGAGCCCTGCAGTATTCACAGACCCTGATCTTTGCAATAGAGGAGATCAACAACAGTTCATCTCTACTGCCTGGAGTCTCACTGGGCTACAAAATCTATGATACCTGTGGTTCTGCAGCACTGGGGGTGAAAGTAGCAATGACACTTGTGAATGGAAATGAGAACTCAGTCTCAGACCAGATCTGCACAAAGCCAGCCCAGGTGCAAGCTATAATAGGAGAGACATACTCATCTGTGTCCATGGCCATAGCAAAGTGTATAGGACCTTTCAGCATGCCTTTGGTAAGGATTTTTTTTAATAATATGACATTTTTAACATTAAATGTAAGATGACAGAATGGTATTTTATAGCTTATTTATAGCTAATAATGTTATGTGACAGTAGGAAAAATACCAACTGACTGTTATGCCTGATGCGAATCTAATTTTAGATCAGTTATTATTCCACCTGTGAGTGTCTGAGTGATAAAAGGAAATATCCTTCATTTCTGCTCACTATTCCCAGTGATTATTACCAGACCACTTGCAGAGATGGTCAAGCACTTTGGCTGGACCTGGGTGGGAGCAATACTTTTACAAAAATTGCAGAACAACTAGGCATATACTTAGAATACTCCCTTCCAGTGGGGCAGTTGTGGCCTAATGGTTAGAGAGTTGGCCTTACAACCCGAAGGTCATGGGTTTGAGTCTGAGGTCTGGCAGGGATTGTAGGTGGGGGGAGTGAATGACCAGCGCTCTCTTCCACCCTCAATACCACGACTGAGGTCAGGCCCTTGAGCAAGGCACTGAACCCCCAACTGCTCCCCGGGTGCCGCAGCAAAAAAGGCTACCCACTGCTCTGGGTGTGTTTTCACTACTGTGTGTGTACTTGGATGGGTTAAATGCAGAGCACAAACTCCGAGTATGGGTCACCATACTTGGCCACACGTCATTTCACCTTCACTTTCACTTTCCATTTTTCAGAACCTACTCACAAGAAAAAGTGAGGGATTGTTGAGCAAATTAAAAGCTCCACTTCTAGAGTGATAGTGGGATTTGTCATTCCCTGGGACCTGGAGATTTTGCTTCATGTATTTTCTGAACACAACATCACTGGATACCAGTGGGTAGGAACTGAGGGATGGATTGCTGATCCAGTTGCAGTCCCACTGGACAAGTACAACATACTGCAAGGAGCCATAGGGCTAGCTTTTCCCAAAACAACAGTAACAGGTCTGAAGGACTTTATTCTAGATATGAAACCATTGAAATCTGCAGGCAGTGCAATTTTCACGAAATTCTGGGAATCTATGTTTACTTGTAAATATGGTATACAGAATAATTCAAAGGACATACCAGTGTGCACAGGTGAAGAGAAACTGTCTGACATCGAAAACACCTTCACTGACATGTCTATGATGCCTATTTTCAGTAATGTGTATAAAGGAGTATATGCCATTGCCCATACACTACATGAACTTCTTGAACTACATGAACCCCCAACTGCTCCCCGGGTGCCGCAGCAAAAAAGGCTACCCACTGCTCTGGGTGTGTTTTCACTACTGTGTGTGTACTTGGATGGGTTAAATGCAGAGCACAAACTCCGAGTATGGGTCACCATACTTGGCCACACGTCATTTCACCTTCACTTTCACTTTCCATTTTTCAGAACCTACTCACAAGAAAAAGTGTTGAGGATTGTTGAGCAAATTAAAAGCTCCACTTCTCGAGTGATAGTGGGATTTGTCATTCCCTGGGACCTGGAGATTTTGCTTCATGTATTTTCTGAACACAACATCACTGGATACCAGTCGGTAGGAACTGAGGGATGGATTGCTGATCCAGTTGCAGTCCCGCTGGACAAGTACAACATACTGCAAGGAGCCATAGGGCTAGCTTTTCCCAAAACAACAGTAACAGGTCTGAAGGACTTTATTCTAGATATGAAACCATTGAAATCTGCAGGCAGTGCAATTTTCACGAAATTCTGGGAATCTATGTTTACTTGTAAATATGGTATACAGAATAATTCAAAGGACATACCAGTGTGCACAGGTGAAGAGAAACTGTCTGACAACGAAAACACCTTCACTGACATGTCTATGATGCCTATTTTCAGTAATGTGTATAAAGGAGTATATGCCATTGCCCATACACTACATGAACTTCTTGAACTACATGAACCCCCAACTGCTCCCCGGGTGCCGCAGCAAAAAAGGCTACCCACTGCTCTGGGTGTGTTTTCACTACTGTGTGTGTACTTGGATGGGTTAAATGCAGAGCACAAACTCTGAGTATGGGTCACCATACTTGGCCACACGTCATTTCACCTTCACTTTCACTTTCCATTTTTCAGAACCTACTCACAAGAAAAAGTGTTGAGGATTGTTGAGCAAATTAAAAGCTCCACTTCTCGAGTGATAGTGGGATTTGTCATTCCCTGGGACCTGGAGATTTTGCTTCATGTATTTTCTGAACACAACATCACTGGATATCAGTGGGTAGGAACTGAGGGATGGATTGCTGATCCAGTTGCAGTCCCACTGGACAAGTACAACATACTGCAAGGAGCCATAGGGCTAGCTTTTCCCAAAACAACAGTAACAGGTCTGAAGGACTTTATTCTAGATATGAAACCACTGAAATCTGCAGGCAGTGCAATTTTCACGAAATTCTGGGAATCTATGTTTACTTGTAAATATGGTATACAGAATAATTCAAAGGACATACCAGTGTGCACAGGTGAAGAGAAACTGTCTGACATCGAAAACACCTTCACTGACATGTCTATGATGCCTATTTTCAGTAATGTGTATAAAGGAGTATATGCCATTGCCCATACACTACATGAACTTCTTGGCTGCAAAAAAACATGTCTTACAAAGCCTGAACCTTTCACAGTGAGTTACAGTATTTTCAAGGCAGATTTTTTGCACTTAGGCTATAGTGCTTTGATTGTGCTACACTTGTTATCATAACAGTAGGCAAAATTTATATTTTGAAATGCATCTTTTACCAAAACTGAATTAAATTCAATATGGAATCCCCCCCCTACCCCCCACCCCCCATCAGTTTCTAGAACACCTCAAAAAGGTGCGTTTCAAAGCCAAGGAAGGTGAAGAGGTTTATTTTGATAAAAATGGTGATCCTCCGGCAAAATATGAAATAATAAATTGGCAAAAAAATAAAGAAAATCAATATGAGTTTGTCACAGTTGGACTTTATGACTCCTCTGTTGCTGCTCAGGATCGATTAGCAGTAAACATGGCCTCCATTGTCTGGGCACAAAATAAAAATCAAGTGAGTATTTGAGGAAATATGTGACTTGCATTCAGTGACAATGATAGGGTGTTCTTACATTGTGTACTTCAAGTACTCAGTTCAGTCATAACTTTTGTGCCCATGGTTTATATATTTTTAATAATTAAACAATGTTTAATGGAAAAACCATTTAAGAAGATTTGCCTTGGTCATAGATGCCAAAATCTATATGCAGTGAGAGTTGCCTCCCTGGCACAAGGAAGGCTGTACGGACTGCATACCATGACTGCTGTTTTGACTGCATACCATGTGCTGCCGGAGAGATAAGTAATATCACAGGTACAAAAATGCCTTAAAACTAAAATCAAAGAGTAACATATAATAGTAACTTTTAAAAATATTTTATCTAGATATATAGTAATATATTGAAATGATACACGTAACAGCAACACAGTAGATTCTGCTTAGTATTATGTATTTCTGACTTTTATTTACTTTTTATTTACTTTCTCTCTCTCTCTCTCTCTCTCTCTCGCTCTCTCGCTCTGTGTGTGTGTGTGTGTGTTGGTGTGTGTGTGTGACAGATTCTATTAAATGTGAACAATGCCAGCAAGATTACTGGTCAAATGCAGACAAAGATGAATGTGTAAAGAAGGAAATTGAATATCTGTCCTATGAAGAAACTATGGGAATTTTGCTAACAGCAGTGTCCATTATTGGTGCTTTAATGACATTGGTAATAGCAATCATATTCTATAGATATAAAAATACCCCAATAGTCAAAGCAAACAACTCTGAACTCAGCTTCCTACTGCTCTTCTCGCTGACTCTGTGTTTCCTTTGTTCACTTACTTTCATTGGACGGCCCTCTGAGTGGTCCTGTATGCTGCGCCACACAGTGTTTGGGATCACCTTTGTCCTCTGCATTTCCTGTGTTCTGGGAAAGACAATAGTGGTGCTAATGGCTTTCAGGGCTACACTTCCAGGCAGTAATGTCATGAAATGGTTTGGGCCTCCACAACAGAGACTCAGTGTTCTTGTCTTCACTCTCATACAGTTCCTTATTTGTGTGCTTTGGTTATCAATATCTCCTCCTTTCCCCTTCAAAAATCTAAAGCACTACAAGGAAAAGATAATTCTAGAATGTCATTTGGGCTCAAACTTAGGTTTCTGGGCTGTGCTTGGTTATATAGGCCTTCTGGCTCTTTTATGTTTTGTTTTGGC